TCCACTCCACCGCCACCTTAGCTTAGCCGCCGCCGCCGCCATCTTGGGAGCCAGCCAACCAGGCTACATCCGGGGCCAGCCCCCGCTCTCCGTCGCCGTGGCAACAGAGTCACCAGCCTCCCCCCCCGCCCGCTTGGGGCGGAGCCAGGCGGACCGGAAGGAACGGGCCTCGCTCCCGATTGGCGGAGAAAAGGAGGACGTTCCTCCTACGGCGGGATCCTCCTTCAGTGGGAGAGCAAGGGGGAAGGAGGCGGGAAGAGCGCGGTCATTGGCTGATGCGGAAGACGATTGACAGGAAAGGCATTGGGCGGAGCCTAGGAGAGCGGGAGAGGTCGGGCGCAAAGTGATTATCAAAAATACTTTCAGAGAAAGCAAGCCTCTAATAATAAGAGGTCTTACGTGCATCTGGAAACAATGGGCTGGAGGAAAATAAATGCAAATTTGGAGGCCTTTTGAGCCGACCTAAGCCTGTTCGTTACAACTAACATTATATTGCAATAACAGCTGACAATTGTATCTGTATGGCCAGAAGGACGTTATTAATTGTTGCAAAGATGCAATCATGACCTGAGACGAGGCAACCTTTAATTGCAGTTCAGGATTCCATGTCGGGCAAGTAACGAAAGGCAAGCTAAGAGCCACTCCCATGGCCTCCGAGAATCCTTTCGCATCCGCCTCCTCCTCCTCCTCCTGCTCCTCCTTGCGACCAGGAACGGGGAGGCAGCCCAGTCTCCCAGGACACGGGTCAAGCGGACTGGTTCAGACGTGCACGGAGCTGCTCTCGTGCAAATCACCCCTCCTCCCCCACCCCACTTATCCCATTGCTTCGTGCAAATACTGTAGGAAGTCGAACCGGTGCAAACAAGCGAAAGGAAAGCGGCTTTGCGGGTCCAAGGAAGGAGGGCGCCCCCTCCGGGGATGCGAGAAATTTTTTTGGGGGGGGGGGAAGGAGCCGTCGATGCAAAGAGCAAGAGCGCCCTCTGGTGGCCAAGGCGAGCAAGCTCGCGGGGGGAGTTCCTGCACCCCAGGCTCCCTATGGCGGGGGAATGGGGGAGGGAAGGGGTTATCCAGAGCCGTAGACACCCCATGGAGGGGCACCCCCACCCTCTCCTTGCCCATNCCCCAGCCTATTCTGTGGCCAGCCCTGCCTCTCGGCGCGCCCCGGGATATCCTAAGCCCCAATCAGGAGAGCCAAGCAGTTTTGAAGGGAAACATAAAATAAAATTATTTATTTGATAAGCATGATGGTTACAAGGTGCTCTCATCAGCTTGAAGTGCCAGGTGTTAACAGTATTGCCTTTCCGTTTTAGAAACGATTCTCTTTTGTGCAATATAACGTGTACTATAATAAATAGCTCCCTGGAAACCCCCACTTCTGTCCTGTGGTACACTCTTAGCTGCTGCTTCTTAACAGCTAAATTCCCCCCCCCCAACCCTTCCTTAGATGACCGCTGTTCCTCCCCTTCAGAACTGCAACCTTTAAATTAATACTTTGTTCTA